TCATTATCCTCCTCCTCTCGATCCTCCGATGGAGTGAATTTGTTTCCTTGTTATGTTTTCTTGGTTTTTCAAACTTGGATTGATTTTGATGTTTTTGGATGCTTAAATTTGATGGTTGTTGGATGTTTTTTAACTTATTTGTTGTTTTATGGATTTTTGAACTTAATATTTACATATATTTGGTTTGATTTTAACTTTATTATTTTGAGCTTAATGTTTCTTAATTTTTGCATCATATTAGTTCATTATGACCAATTATGCCATTTCACATTTGATTATGAATATTGATTATGAAACTAACGGTTAATATCTCTTCTGATCTTTGATCTTAGCAGCTTAAGCTATATATATATATATCAATTGGCTATGTTTTTCAAAACCTTGTTTAAATCGATTTCTAAGTCTTTTTTATTTAACAAAAAGGGGGAGAAATGTTAAAGTGTTAAAATGTTTTAAAGCGGAGAAGTGTTAAAGTAAGGGGGAGTAATTTTAAAGGGGAGAAGTGTTAAAGTAAGGGGGAGTAATTTCAAACTTAATTTTAAAAAAAAAACAATTTTTAAAGAAAATATTAAAATTACACACATGTTTTGTTATATCAAAAAGGGGGAGATTGTTGAAAATATTTTGATGTTTCGATATAACAAACTAAGTATAAATGAATTTTAAGATTTTAAAAATGATTTTCTAAAGTATATTCGATTTAATTACTCAAATATCAAATTATTACTCCAAGTCTTCAAGATCAATTTCAAACCTTACTAAATGTGTAAATTGTGTTTTATACTTAATATATTTTTGAAACAATTTTTACAAAGTATTTTGAACCAAAATCAAGCCTAAAATCAATTTTTCAAAGTGATGCACCGATGCACCAATCCATGCATTGATGTACCATGGAATAAATTGAACATTGAATGCATTTCATGCATCGATGCACATACTATGCATCGATGCACTCAGAGTTTTATGAAAACATCGAATGCATTTGATGCATCGATACACCAGCCATGCATCGATGCACTCTGGCTGTTTTGAAAGATCGAATGCATTTCATGCATCGATGCACTTTTAGTGCACCGATGCACTAAGGGTCCAACGGTCAAAATATTTGAATTTTACACTTGATGCACCGATGCACCTTGGGTATGCATCGATGCACTGACGCTCCCAACTGATTTTATTAATTGTTTTCACACTTAAACGATTGACTCCACTAATCATCCCCAACGTTCAGAATCATTTGAAGGTGTATTTAAACAAGCTTAGAAGCCATTGATTAATAAAAAGAAAACACAAGAAACAAGAGTCAAGAGAGAATCAAAGAGAAAGCATCAAACCTCAAGTTTGAGCTTTTCAAGCCTATTTTTCATTCAATATTCATTTTTCTTTCAAGAACACTACTTGTACTCAATTGTATTCATTTTTAGTGTTCTTTTCTCTATTCTATAATTGTACAAACAATCTACCTTCTGAGGATTTCTTTGTAAGTTTGCAAATTTGTAATCTTCTCATTGAGAAAGAGTGTTCTCAAGAATTGGGGTATATTCTTGAGGGTGTTTTAAGGTTATCTCTTTGGCCTCAAAAGAAAGAACAAATTAGTGAATTTGTTGGAAAATCCTTAGTGTGGATAGCTAAGGTAGTGGACGTAGACTTTGGTTGAGAAAGTCGAACCACTCTAAATTGTTGTGCAAATCTTTTCAATTTTTTGCAAAAGCTTCCACCAAAATTTTAATTGCCAATTCACCCCCCTCTTGGCCAATTTCATCGATCGATTAACTCAACAATTACTGATTCAAATACGCGATTGATGTGAATTAATTCATCCTTTTGTTTTTACTCATTTACGCGCCATATAAAATTAAAATAATTTTATAATGTATACGTGAATACTACAGAGGTATTAAACTACTCAGTCATACCATGAAGCTATGGGAAAGGGTGATAGAGGCTAGGTTGAGACAGGTTACTAGAGTTTCGGAAAACCAATTTGGCTTTATGCCAGGCAGGTCTACTACGGAGGCGATTCATTTACTTCGACGGCTTATGGAGAAATATAGGGAAAAAAATAGAGATCTTCACATGGCTTTCATTGACCTTGAGAAGGCGTATGATAGCGTACCCCGCGATACGATCTAGAAGACCTTGGAAAAGAGACGCATCCCAACTGCTTATATACGGGCAATTCGTGATATGTACTGTAGATCTACTACTTACGTCAGGACTATAGTTGGCGACACCGAGGCATTCCCGGTAGAAATCGGACTCCACCAGGGGTCGACTCTTAGCCCTTACATCTTCGCCTTGATTATGGATTACATCTATTGTACGACACCAGAAGGTATTCCATGGTGTATACTTTTCGCTGACGACATTGTCCTAGTTTCTGGGAAAAAAATGAGCTGAATAGTAAACTGGCTACCTGGAATACTGATTTGGAAGAAAAAGGTCTAAGGATCAATATTGAAAAGACAGAGTATTTATGTTCAAACTTCAGTGGGAACCAAAACGATGAAGATGTCGAAGTATGCATCGAAGGACACGTTCTCCCCTCAAAGGATTGTTTCAAGTACCTAGGGTCTATGATACATAAAGATGGGGGTGTAGATGATGACGTTACACACCGTATAAAGGCAGGATGGCTAAAGTGGAGGGTTGCTACTGGATTTTTTGTGACAAGAAGGTGCCTAATTATACTAGCGCTGATGTATGGATCAGAATGTTGGGCAATCAAGAAGGATCACGTAAGGAGGATGGAGGCCGCAGAAATGAGAATGCTTCGATGGGCATGTGGTAGCACTCTGTGGGACATGACACCTAACTCTGTAATTAGGAGGTCCTTGGGGGTGGTGCATGTATCTGAAAAGTTGAGGGAGGGAGACTACGGTGGTTTGGGCATGTCCTTAGGCGATAATCATCGGATGTGGTCATGAGGGTAGAGTCGATTACAGTCGACGGTACCAGAAGGAGAGGTCGACCAAGGAGGAAGTGGGTAGACTGCTTGAGATCTGATTTGAAAGATTTAGCCCTTACTGAGGACATGAACTCTAACAGGAAAGTATGGATACTTAAGACCAGGGTAGCCGAGTATTGTGCGTCACAACAATAGGGTGTAGCATCTCTATCTTCTTTTTAAAGCCTTTGTAGTAATTTCCATGGCTTCTACTTTTTATACGTTTCAGTCATTGGAATCTATGAAGGTTTAGAACTAGGGTAGCGGAGTAGTGTTGCCTTAGTTTAGGTTTTAACCCATTTGACTTTATTCCTTTTCGTAACTTGTTATTGCTGACTACTGTGTATCATTATCTTCATATTTCCTCTTTTTAAATTTAGCCCGGACTTACGTTTCTGTCTATATGTAGAGATTTTTAAGCATGGATTTATTTGTAGGGATTACTTCCCATTACAGACGCGCATATGTAGACTGCATATGAAGACTGTTCAACTATATATTTATTTATTTTTTTTATACATGCATTGTATTTTATCTTTATTTTTTTAATTTTTTGACTGTCGGAGGTCTTCCATGGAAGCTGCTCTCAACCTGGAGTTGGGAGCAGCCTACTACCCTACCTCCCCCTTACCCCATTACATATGGGAAAAGGGTTCTAATGTTGTTGTTAACATTAATTTTAATTCTCAACATTTATATATTACATCAATTATAAAAATATATATATTTAATTCTTATATATAAATATTAAGGATTAAACTTATTATAAAGCAAACTAAATTTATATAAGATCAATAAAAATATAGTTATGATTATGTATTCGTAATTGTGTGATTGAACTTTGATATTTAACTTTGATATGGGGTTAACGGGATGGGAGAGTAAAAGGACAGTCAAGATGGGTAAATCCTTGGATTCGACAATTGGTTGTAACAGAAAAAAAAATTTACCCCCAAACCAAGGTTATGGCGTTGTGCTGGTAGGAGCTGAAGAAAGTTCCGGTGGGAAAGGGGAAGGACTTAAACATCAACGCCAATCACATTCACCAGTCTCGAATTTACCAAAATAAGACTCCAAGAATAACAAAGAAGAAATATCGGCAGGCCTGTAGAATCAGGCCAGTGGGGCGCAATGAAAATCGTTGATTAGAATGTTCGGGGACTGGGGAATCCCCCGAACGGTTAGACGTCTCCGACACATATTGTTAGACATTAACCCCACTGTAGTTTTCTTTTCCGAAACAAAATAACAGAGATCACGAATGGATGCTGTTCGAAGAACCTTTGGCTTTCTGAATGGCATTGAGGTAGCGGCAGTAGGTAGTAGTGGTGGACTTTGTATGGCTTGGAAAGATACATGCGATGGTCAATTGCGCTCGTTTTCAAATCATCACATCGATATTATCATTACCAATTCTGAGAAAGACGTGAAATGGAGGTTTACGGGATTCTACGGATATCCGGAGGAACATAGAAGGAGAGAATCGTGGGACTTGTTGAGACATTTGAATACTGACCCAGAGATCCCTTGGTTTGTATTTGGGGATTTCAATGAAATTCTTTTCTCAGGTGAAAAACAACGGGGACAATACCGAAATGAGCGACAGATGAACGAATTTCGTTTGGCTTTTGAGGAATGCGAACTTAAAGATGTGGGATATGAAGGGGTTTGGTTCACTTGGGAAAGAGGAAGTAGAGCAGAAAATAAAATTAGAGAAAGACTCGATAAAGGGGTAACGAACAGTGCTTGGTGGGATTGTTTTCCAGATTATAAACTGTCACATTTGCAACACTCTACTTCGGATCATTGTCCGTTACTCTTGGATACGTTGGGAGAGAGAAGAGGAACAAAGATGGCATTTCAAATTCGAAGCATCATTGCTACTAGAAGATTCTAGTGAGGCAGAGATTGAGCGTTTATGGAATTCAAATACAGGATCGGTACCAGAAAAATTAATTAAGATGCGAGAAGGACTCGACAGTTGGTTCAAAGACATCAAAAGGAAGAAAAACTTAACAGAGACAGTTTCAAAAGAAGATTACAGGAACTAATGGAGTTAGAACCGACAGAGGACAATTTGGGAGAAATTACGGATGTTCGGTTACGGTTAAACATTGAGGCGAACAAACCAGAAATATACTGGGAACAAAGAGCTAAAGCCAATTGGCTTCGCAACGGATACAAAAATACAAACTTCTTTTCACCGATATGCGACTCAAAGGAAAAGACACAACAAAATCAGAGGCTGGAAGCATGTGTGAAGATGATTCGGAAATTCAGATTTCATAATCTAGCGAAAAGATATTTTGAGACACTTTTCAAATCATAATGAGGAGCTGGTGAAGAAGAAATCCTGGAAAAAGTCAAGTCGTGCATCACAGAAAACATAAATCAGAATCTGTCTAGACCGTTTACATCAGAGGAAGTTTTTAAAGCAGTTCAATCGATAAGTCCCTTGAAAGCTTCAGGCGAGGATGGTTTAGGAGCAATATTTTATCAGCGGTTTTGGCACATTGTGGGCAAAGATATAGGGCTTCTTGGGTCCCAAGACGTGGAAGCAGTTAATAGTACCTATATAGTTTTGATCCCAAAAGTGCGAAACCCCACCCAGTTAACACAATTCAGACATATCAGCCTATGCAACGTACTCTATAAAATCGAGTCAAAAGTGTTGGTTTTTCGAATCCAGGAATATCTTCACTTATGCATTGACGAAGCTCAAAGTGCGTTCGTTCCGAGAAGGCTTATTACTGATAACATCATCACGACTGTAAGCACCATTTTTAATTCAATTTGCCCAAACCCCAAAACCAAAATAAAAAACAGACCCAAAATGGCCCCAAACTCAAACCCAAACCCAACCAAGACCCGACCCGGGTCTAACATGACCCTACTGTAGCCGCTTGAACACCCTGCCACACTCCATGCCCTGCAATCCAACACTCCACGCTACCCCTGTAAAAGCAACAAAGAAGAAAACAAATATTAATCATTTAAATGATATGTAAACGGGAGCTTTTCCCCAAAAATCACCGGTGATCGGTATATTTACCGATCTAACACCGGTCAGATTATATTTCCTGATCTAACACCCGTAGCAGTACAGCGCGTGCCCTGAACCGTGTTATATGCTGATTTGGCGCCACGTGGATATAGCATGCCCCCTGCCCTGCGATATACGGTGATCTGGCACCACGTGGGTATAGCGCGCCCCCTGATCCGCGCTATACTCCACGTAGGGGTATAGTGCAGATCAGGGGCCGCGCTATACGCCGTACCAAAATTATATTTAACGCGGTCCCTGATCCGCGCTATATAATAATTACATATAACACGGTGCAGGTACCGCGCCTTATATGTTTATAAATACGCATCTCTCCTCACATCTCCTCGCATCCCTCCTCCCATATAAATTAATACAACAATTCCGTCAACGAGTAATAATTCTGGCAATCTTCTTATATTTGATTTAGAAGTTCGTGCGATTTTTCGTTATAAAGTAATTTTGTTATAATTTTTTAATTATACTTATTGTTTATTATCATTATTTGAAAAAATATTATACTAATTATTTTTAATTAATTTTTATGTTTGTAAAATTGAAAAGCGGGAGCATACGTCGAAATAGTTTTGCGGTACAGGTAATAATATAAAATTATATTATTTAAATTATTTACGTTGATGTGTAAAAAAAATTTTGTGTTATATTTTCGTTCATATATAATTTATTTAATCAAGTTTGTTTAAGTTTTTTTTTTTTTGCAGATATATTATTGCCGCACTTTTAAACTCAAAGAATGGCGCGACTTTCAGCTATTGTTTATTATGATGGTGAAATTCGAAAAGATGAAACCGGCGTTATTTTCGTATCAAATGAGCGTGTTAAAATATCATTCAAGAGAAACATAACTCTTGAGGAGCTGATAACGAAGATTTCGAGGAAGATTCATGTTGGAAGTAACAGAAGAATGTCGTCGTTGCAGTACAGATTTCCAACATCATTGTTGTCATTAACTTATACAGCGTTCGAACTTTCAAACAATGATGATGTTCAATAGATGGTTGAAGCTCAAAGTAATTATTCAGACGCCGCTACTGAGATGTATGCACATTTTGTTCAAGTGCGTGCTATTCGGGGTCAATCTTTAAGCTCACACTATGGGCTGGCTGAACAAGTTGATCAAGTTGACAGCCCGACTACAGTAATGTGTAATGATTTTAATGCCATAATGGGGAGACATTCATCCGCAACTCCTTACGATATATACCGAGGTGGGTCCACGAACAATCCATATGGCAACACCGCGTCCAGTTCAAGGGGAAGGCATTCATCTGCAAATTTCTTTGACCATATGGAGATGCCATTGACGCAACCATCTGTGCAGTTTCCATTTGACACGATGGCTTCAAGCTCCAGGGGGAGGCATTCGACTGCGAGCTTTTTCGATCTCAATGTCGATATGCCTTCCAGTTCAAGGGGAAGGCATGCAAGTAGTAGGTTCTTCGACCTAAATGTGGAGAGCAAGGAGGAACCATCATCTCCACCAGAAGAACCGCTTCGTGAGCCTGGTGCGGATGGTGCTGAGACTGGACACATGTATGAAGCTGATTATGGTGTAATGTACGGGCCAGAATTTGCGGATATGCCTCATCTCGGTGACTATGGATATTACTCATCAATAAATAATGGTGAGTTATCTTTAGGCATGGAGTTTTCAAGCAAAGAAGAAGCGATGATGGATATAAAAAATTACAATATCCGTAATTCTATTCAGTCCAGAGTCAACCAATCGACGACCGAAAAATATGTATACTACTGTGCCCGCGAAAACGGATGCAATTGGATGGTTCGCGTATCGAAAATGAAGAGGAAAAACAACATATGGGAACTAACAATATACAACGGTCCTCACACATGTTGTGCTGGAGGGGTCAACCAAGATCATCCAAACTTGGACTCTGAAGTGATATGCCAAGCCATCATGCCCATGGTAAAAGCAAGCTCTCATATAGCTGTTGCAGTGTTGATTTCAGCTATACAATCGCAGTATGGGTACACCGTCTCCTATAAAAAAGCTTGATTGGCAAAACAAAATGCCATTGTCAAACTTCATGGCGAATGGGATGCATCTTACAACGAAATTCCAGGTTGGTTTAGGCTGGTGCAGACGTTGAATCCTAGGACAATTGTGGACTTCAAAACCTCCTATGCATACCATAATGATCGAGTTCTTCGCGATCGATGCCAATTCTACAGAAAAAAATTACTGCATCAAATGGAATGTCTGTAACAAGCTTCTCAAGAAGGCATGAAATGTTTCGTGTCACAGAGTTGATGCTACCTCTTCAAGGGATTGAAGCTGTGTCGTTAAGAGTAAATCTAAGGGACATAACGTGCGACTGTGGGTTTTTTCAAGCTCTGAAGTATCCATGCTCTCATGTGATAGCAGCTTGCTCGCATACACGTCAAGACTATAACCATTTTGTGGATCCCGTATACATACCATCTGAAGTTTTTAAGGTATACGAATTTGAGTTTCCCCCCATAGGTAATGATAAAGACCCTGATGAGGTTCAAGATTAGCTTCCGATTATACCAAATCCGAGTTTATTGAAGGAGCGTGGTCGTCCAAAATCCAATCGAATTCATTGCGATATGGATATTCGAGAAAGATCTAGACAAGACAGAAGATGTGGCCATTGTAGAAACCCATGACACACTAGAAAAACATGTCCACTTCTATTGTCATCAAGTAACAATTGATGAGGAAATGATGTATTTGTTTATCAAATAACAATTCTTGTATTTTAATTTGCATTTACTTCAAGTTAATGTCATTCGATAATCGCTGATGAAGATTAAAAAACGAACACAATCATTAAATTTTATCAAACTAATAACAATTTGGTATTTAAATACAACAAACTTACAATAAGAATTAAATGGTAAATGAGAAATAATAAAAAAATACAATTAAACAAAATAAAGTAAATACAAATATAATAAAAAAAATCTATCGATGCCTGCATCGCGAATGTGTTCCGCAGGGCGGTGGTTTTCGGTCTCGAGGAGGATTTCTTCGTATCACTGGTTCTAACTCCTCGCTGTCATCATCGTCTTTGTCGTCACCATCGTCGTCGTCGTCGTCCTGAGCAGGTACATTAGGTTGATGAGGAGCTGATGACGATGAAGCACCTCCATAGAATAAGGACCTTGGAGGTGTATGACCGACTATCCCACCGGCCTTCGAAAACTGGGAAAATTGGGAAAACCCAGACATCGATGAGTGTGAAAACTGTACAGGAGGTGTATGTGCTGTGGCCATGGGTGATGAGGCTGAACCCGCCAAATATCCAGCATATGAACCTCAAGTCGGATCTACAAACATAGACCCATAATAGCCTCCAGGAGGGGTCATCTATGACGGTGGCGGTGGCGGGGTCATAAAACCAGGTGAAGGCGACAGCTGCATCTGGTAATGGAAAGGCGATGGCGGCATCATATATGGCTGTGGTGGCTGCTGGGAAGGTCCTGTTGGTGCAGCTGAGGATGAACCGGAAGTATCTGCTCTTCGTCCACGAGTCGGGGGACGATGGTGCTGTGTCGGTGAACGTCTCTGTCGACGTCGTGGAAAGGTCTGCCCTCGTGCATCCTCGGGAAGTAGAAACGGTTTCCCGTTACTGTTGAACCACTTATAATAATCCTCAGCATACATCAAGAAGTCAGTAAAAATGGGCTCTCTACGTGGAAGGCGCCGATGTCGATCCTCCCACAACAGGTCCCACTCATGATGCCTCACCAGCCAATTTGTATCTGTCTTGCCGCGTATATATAAGCTATGCAACTCGTCCATATTGCGAGGTGCTTCCGGAATTGGTTGAAAACAACCAAACTGCCGGAGCACGCGATCAGTGGAGTGCCACTCGACGGTCGCATAACAGATCAGAGAGACCATCGCCATCCAAACATCTGATGGACCCCTCAACTCAGGTGGGATCACCACCCTCACATCATCAGTAGAATATGGCACCCATTCAAACTAAAACAAATAATATATAATTTTTATCAAAATAATAATCTAATTATATAACTATAATCTAAAATCGATTTTTATACATTAAAATTCATACCTGTGTGACAGCCTTCTGATCGATTAGCACCCTAATTTTTTCTAAATCATCAAGTAGCTCCTGATGATTTTTCCTATCAGTAGACCACTATTCAAGGAAAAAAAATTGTTATACGCTATATAAAATTATTAATATACAAAATCAATTTTATAATTACCTCAGAAGTAGTGGAAATACGAATGGGTTCTTCACAACAGGACATAAAAAGGGCAATCGATACCATGCCCAAGACTGCAGTAGCAGGAGACATCCGCCGATAGCATTACGTCTGTAGTCAGTGGCTCTACACATCTCCCTGTACAGCAAAGCTAAAACTGCCGAGCCCCAACTGAATGATCCGGCGAGACGAAAGTCGCTAAGATGTCGCAACCACATGCAGTGAACTAGGTTGCGCGATTTGTCCGACATCAGCAACCCTCCTATCAACTACAGTATGCATGCCCGTGCATACATCTTAACCTCATCCTCAAAGGCGTCTACGCTTAACTCCTGAAAATTGGCATTTAACCAATTTAACGGTATCCTACCTCCGATAAAATTTTCCGGGACACGTCCTAGACTATCTCGACACAAAGTAGTCCAATAACCGGAAGCTACCCCCGATATCACATCTCCATCCACCATAAGCCCCAGGAGCAT